CTATCACAGACAACATTGTACCTCATGATTGATCTGGATATGTTCTTTTTGATGATGAATGCAACACCATTCCATTTCAATTTTTCATTCCCTGCATAGTAAACCATGTGGTTGTCAGATTCAAAATGACCAATAACAGTCCATTTCAGCTCACTGCATTTCATTTCATCAGCCCTTCTTGGACAGGCTGGATACTATTCACTGGAGACTCTACCTTCCTCCATGCCCTTTGGATCTAGGTTCCCCTGGTATTGTTTTAATTTTCTTCTGCTTCAGCCTGAATTTGCTTATGAGCACTTAATAGTCTATTCTACAGTAGGCCCCTTGTTTTGGGGCACTCTTGAAATATATTTTGGCTATAGAGCCCTGAGAAATTAATATTGAGAATTTTTCAGTACACAATTTCAAATAGCCAATTGTGATGTTGCCAATCACTTTCCTTCTTTTAATCCAATAGCTTGCATTATTAAAAGAAAAATTATTCCACAAAGCAAGATCTGTATTTCTGTTATTTACAGGGGTCTGTAGATAAGACAATTTCAGGTTCTAAAACAGTTTCACTTTATACTCACCGTTAATATTTTTTACCAGAGTAAGGGATGGATGCAGAAAGTGGAACAAATTCAGCTATATTTGAATGTCAGTTAGTATTTTCCAAGCTACTGATACTGGTATAACGATTTGTACTCATTGAATTCTGGTGTTCAACAGAAGGAGTTTATTCTGATATATTACATTTTAAAAAGAAAGTTAATTTTGGAAATGTCTTTAGAAATTCACAAATTCTCTAATTTTTAGTTCTGCAAGCTTTCATTTTTATGTTCCACAAAATTGTTGCCATTTCTTTGTACCTAGCTATAAAATTAAGGCATTCTTTATATTTAGTTCTACCCAAGTCAATACATTTGTATAATTGAAAATAAATAAAATGTGTAAGACAAGTAAAATTTATAAAATGAACTTTACATTTGAATTTGGATGTTAACACAACACTTTATATATGGAAATTAGTACATTAAAAAATTGATTTGAATTATTTCATTTTGCTCTTCATGTCTGGGATAGTCAAAGAAATAGCACTTACAAGGCAGTTGGAAATAATCCCATTAGTTTGTCATTCCATGTGTGTTGGGGGGCTTTTGCAGATCTTCATATGAACTAATACTTAAAAACTTCTGTACACACTTTCTGTATTTTGATGCTGTGTCTTCACAGTTTGCTGGACTGTTGCTGATAACCAGTGGAGGTGAGAGTATGCAATTGTAAAGAGTATGATATAAGTACAAGAGTATGCTCAATCTGAAGACACATTTTGGTTTGCTTTGAGTAAGACCAGACCCAATATGTCATGACTCACATGATTATAGTACTGCTATAATAGTTGAGGCCATGAATCTTAATATTGTGAAATTATCCTGCATTTTGTGGTCTGGTGTAATTATCCTGTGTGTGGTGGCTATATGTGTAATGTGTAATTATCCTATGTGCAGTAGCTCCATACATTAAGTGCTGGACTGTGAACCACAGGGGTCCATGGGTTCAAGCTCACCAGCTACTCTGTGGGAGAAAGAGGAGACTTTCTACTTCTGCAAAGATTTAATGCCTAGGAAACCTTATGCAGGGTCTTTATGAGTTGGAACGACTTGATGGTACCTAACGACAACATCAAATCTGTGGTTGTGGTGG